TGTGTGTGTGTGTGTGTAAGAGAGAGACTGAACATTTGCTCTCACTTTGCGAAAACATATCGGGATATATATCATATATGGATATTCAGCCTAAATATATCGGGATATGACTTTTGGTCCATAGTCAGCCCTATTCAGGAATATCAATAGCTGTCAGCAGGAAATAAATCTAAACCAACCAAAGTTCAGTTGTTCTATTACTCCATTTGAAATGTGTTATTTCAGGATATTTTGGATTAAACTCAAACTATGATATTGGGTCTATCTTGTAAATTAAACAATAATGGAAAAGCTCTTCTGATTATTATGCCCTTGTATTGTATGAGAGTAGCTTCATAATTATAAGCATCTTTTTTTCATTCTTGGCTGAATATTCACAGCTAAATGCTCTATGTGCAGGAAACGCTAAGATAAAAGAAGTTAGTTAGTATTACCAAGGTGAGGCTGCCTTCACCTTCTGCTATAACACTTTATCTCTACAGCCATCATGTCAAACACTTGTGTTTCTCTGTATTTGTGTGTCTTCCGTGGAACAAGAGAGCCTTAGATTAAGGTTACTTGTGATAAGCCATTGTCCAAGTATGGAGGAGTGTGTTTGGTGCCATGTCTGTCATGGTTACACAACAGCTCACAGGCAGGACAGAGCAAGCGTTATAGTCTGAGAGCTTATTGCAGCCAATCAGAGAGCTCTTTGTGTGTGTGTGTGTGTGTTCGAGAGAATTTGTGTAATTTATGTGCACAGTTATGGAATAGTTGATAATCAATAAGTTATTAAAAACACAAGATGACTTTCATCTGTAGTTTCTCATGCTGCTTTGAGATGTAAAGAAACATTACTACACATCACAAAAGAGAAATGATGTAACTTAATAATCAAGTCCCAATCCAGAATAACATCTAGACCTAGATTCATTCCCAGATATTGCACTGATTTTCAATTTCCGTTTCTTATCAAACATTAAAACATCAAACATTAGTCCCTCCTGAAGCTTTACTTCAGAAACACTTAAAGGAGTTGTATGGTTTGAACAGTTTACAGCCTGAGGGTGGTTGCAGTTTTAGTTCAACCAGTGGTTGTACTTTTTCTCAAATGTCGCCACATAAAAAGAACTGTCTTATGATCCGGCCCACACAGAATCTGCACCCGCACAAATCTGACAGCACCTCAACAGATTTTCTGCAGATTTTAAACTAATAGAAATGCTGCTTGTAAAACTGAATGTTAACACATCTCCACCCCTTGAGCGTGTTGTGACAGCTGTGTGTCGTTTTGAGAGGACATTAAGATTGTTTTCAACTGTAGCTCATGAAATAAAATGTCAAATTCTACTCAAATCCACTAAAGATTTCTTTCAGCCTGATTGATGTTAATTGGCGGTTTTTGGGCTGATGGTGGCCAGCTGGAAAATGTTAACATATTGCCCCACCATAATAGCTTGTGTGCACACCACCCTTAAAAATAGTTCTTCTTTGTTGGGTTGTAGACGTAAGATCTGAAACAGGAGCTTGGAGTTTGTTCACTGCAGGGACACTGTTGGAAACATAACGCTCCCTTTTACCTAACACAAAATAAGAACTGTGTGGTGACCTCCAGGCGTGGTTTTGGCTCATAGCTTGAAGCAGTATGTTATGAGATTAGGCTTTAGCTCGCACAGTCAAATCAATTACAGGCTGGATAATGAGGGATCCCCACTTAGAGACTTGGTGAATTGTAGCCAGTAAATAGAGCTTAACGGTAAGTAGGCTACCATACAAGGACGTGTTGGACAAATTCTTGCTTCTTAAAAAGTGACCAGGAAGGTTCAGCAAAAGCATCATTATTCTCAGTATGAATGGATCATACTGTTCACCAGCAGTAGTGTCGTAAAATATAACTCATGCAAATCACGTTTTCAGCCCTGTTTGCTGTAGTTACAGACGTAGCGGTAGGTGGCACTTGCTTTTTGTCATACAGTGCTGTTGCTTCACAGCAAAGTTAGCAATGTGTTTCCAAGATGACTAAACCATTTTGTCTAACATTTAGTGACGAGAAGTCAGCACTCCGTCGCATACCATTTTTGTTCAGAAGATGTAGTGTGGTCAAATGGTCAAATGTGGTCGTTTAGGTCATTCCTAAAGGGATCTTTCTGAATGCCCTGAAGGACAGGAGATTTTAAAAAAGAGATTTTTATGATTTTCAGTCAAATTTCTGTGTTGGCCTAACGGACGTTTTACATTACCATGATTTTAAAACAACAGAGGCGATGGGGGATATCACAATTGTGTTCCATTTAGAAGTGGGCAGTAGTTTGAGAAAGCTGTCTTTGTATCTCCATCTTGTCATATTTGGGTTTAAAAAGCACTGCTGAACTCTTGAGATTTTTGGGAGTGTCCTGGTTTATGGGATTAGTCCACAGATCAGGCTTTGTTGTTTATATCTCTTATATCAATTTGATTGCTGTTTAAATGGGGTAGTAAGTACTCGTGACAAAGTAGCAGAAATAGAAAAAAGAGAGGTTGGACTTTGAATTAGCTGTTAGAACAATTTAATACCAGTTTGTCATCCATTCTGTCCACCTCATCGATCGTGGACGCCAAGGCCAAAGTTCATTTGTGTGTTAAAGGCGTTACCTGGCAAAGGTGAAATCTTTCCACTGTGCAGAAAAAGGCAGAGTAAGATGAGGGGAAGGAGAGAACAAGCACTGCTTTCCCTCAGATTCATGAATTAATAAGTATACAAACATGATTGATCTCAGTTGCACTGGAGGTATGTGTAAAGATTTTGTAATTCTGATTAAAAAAAATATAGAATGATAATCTGCTGTTTCTGTGTTATCCAGAAGTAACTATGTATTGGTCACAAAGCAGCATCCTTTCAATTCAGTTTGTTCCATTGTGTTAAAGAGCCACGTGTAGTATTTAGCGTTCCCTGTGTGTTAGAAAAGAAAGAGACCCCTGCGGTGTGTCGAGCCTGCTGCTGAGCTTCTACAATGATGAATCAGTGTGTAAGTCAACATTTGTGGTGTTTGCCATGTGGGCTGTGTCATTGTGACCAAAATGTTTCCTTGTACTGTTACTAAGGTCAGGCATGCTGCTTGTAGTGGCAGCAGAAACAAGTGGATTCATTATGTGTCACTATGGACTGTGTCACTGTGAATTAAGTGGTGAAGTGGGCAGTGATACCACAGTGGTAGAAATCACACATTATTTTTAAACAGCAGAAGAGTGTGATCTACAGTGAAGTATTTCCTTCTGAATGCTATTTGATTTTTAAGGCTGACTAATTGACATACTCATTAACCCGTTGGCGTCACTTTGCTTTGTATAATGTGTTGATTGAAGTGGAATTACAGCCTGTTGGTTGGTTTACTCATTGACATTCAACGGGATCAAGAGAGTTTCATCTGTGTACAGCACAGTGACAAACGTTGTTAGGGCCAGTTGAATCAAATGGTTTTTAAAATCTTTTTAAAGCTCATTTAGCCAAGTGAATGCACCTTTTTTTTCAAAAATGAGACAACGGTTGTGATCAACATTTGATTAACACGAAACAAGCAGCCAGTCAGCAACCTGTTCCATTCACAGCCATTGTCCTGCTTTAAAGCGACGAGCTCACATGTAGAAAGACAGAGTACAGTCTGAACACAAGAGTCAGTGTCACATACTGAAGGCATGTGTTGCTCAATAGTTCAGTACATTTCATATAAAGTGTAATTGAGATTCAAAGTGATCGTTTATTATGCCGATTGGTTTCATTTTACAACCGTGTCGACTATGTCTAACTTGTTATTTTGGAATTTGAAAATCAAAGGCCATTTGGGGTCGTCAGTATAAACGATGGAGAGCCAACGTACCAAACAGAAAGCAACAAAGACCCAGAATGCCAGTGACAGTGGTGTCCCGATTATGTAACCACTGGACTAGAAAACTCTCTGTTTGCACTCAGTGGGCCATGATAGACAATCTTGTTGCTCAGCCAGACTAAACAGATTTTCTGCTGGTAGCCTAGATAGGTGGGAATGACCCTTAACTGCTATTTATACTGGCCCTCCAAAAGAAGCAGTCATACGTTTTCTGTCCTCTCAGCAAGTTGCTTTCATTAGAAAGTTCTCACTCCAGCGTTGCTACATACCTGAAAACAGAAACCAATTAAAATTATTTGATCAGAATATAAAATAACACTCACAGGGTTAAGACTAGTCGCTGTGAGAGCAAGTTCTCTAGGTCCAGCCAAATGAAAGCCCTCCTGGAAATGTGGACTAATAAATAATATTATGTTTCCTCATTGGGTATTTCTTTGTTAAAAGGAGGAGGATTACAGAAGTTTAGTGCAAAATCACATCTCAGGGGTGAACATAGTTTCTCACAATGCTCCTTAAAAGACAAAATAATAATAATAATCACACTATATTGTAGTTTCGAGGCACTAAGGTGAGACGGATGTCTTGACTTAGTCTTATTGTTGGTCCTGACTCCTGCCTTTGGCTCTTGTTAACACAGTTTTTATGGTTTACATTCATTAACCGTAGATAATCTCTTATCTTAACTTATGTGTTGTTTTTTGTCTCTACAGGTTACTAATTTTCTCCTGTCAGCACAAACTGAACTCTGAAGGTACACCAGCTGGTGTAGTTCTCCTTTGGTCAAACCATCCCCCAGAAATCAACATCATACCGAGTTTGGGACATTCCCCGCCTGGATATTAAACGGACATTGCGCTGTCGCTGTGGTGACACTCTAGAGGGACCTTGATCGACAGGTCTGCCACCAAAAGGAACATGTGCTAGAAGTTGTACATCTGTCCTGAACGACTGCGAGGCTTTGACTCTAGAAGATGAGCAATGAGGATGAGTTCTACGACGCCGTCACAGGTGGGTGTGTGTGTGTGTGTGTGTGTGTTTTCACATGGTCTAACAGTCTTTCTCAAAGAAAAGACACTTACACTTCCTAAGTACTCAGTATTGATGCTTTTTGTTATTTTTCTGACTAGTTAAAAAATGGAAAGTTCTTCCTCAGAGAGACAATTCACTAATGCTGTTAGCAGACCAAATGCCTAAAGTAATGCTGGAAATGTTCTCTCTGTGAATTTTAACATGATTATAGAGTCTTAATAGAGTTTTCTAATTTCATAAACCCAATATATATGTATTGATTATTTTTATTAGGATCTAATTTTGTCTTCAATGATTTTGACAGTCAGTCCTAGTTAGGTCGTCTGCTTTTGTCTCTATCATAGAAGCATAATACCATCCAATGCAACCTAACCTGCCTTAGTCTGATGATTAGTTCAATAATTCATAAGTCTGCTGTCTCGTGATCATGATCAGTAATGTTACTAACACCCTGGATTCTGGGGGAGTTTATGGCTGTGGTCATGTCTGTATGTTTTTGTATTTTCAAAAATAAAGAAATAGACTGAAAAAAGTGTTTAGTTTTTTAGAAGTGCTCAGTTACAGTGTGTCATTAATCTTTTATTTTATTCAGCAGAGGCAGAAAAGGTACAGAGTCGGGGTAGTGACGGCCCAAAATCAGCACTTAAACCTCTTTATCTGATATCCCGTCTTAAGGAAGGCAGTTAAATGAATTTCCCAATACCCCGTGACTTTTATTTCTGATTTCTCTGAAGTGGTTTCGGATTCAGATAGTCCTCCAAGTCAACAGCCATGGGATGTCATGCATATGCTAATGTTACAGTTGCCATGACGGCTCTGATATCCATGCATTAGCTAATTACAAAATACATTTGACGAAAACAAATCCTGATAGAGCTGACTCATGAGGATGTTGTGTACAAGTGTTGTGTCCCTCTAGTGAGTATCTAATCCTTCTCTTGGTTTTGGAACTTGCTTCCACACCCTGAGTTTGAAGGGGCTTCACTGACAGGATGTTTGTAAAAGTGGTGTGAACCATTGCTGAAGAATTGAAGGGCAGAACAAAGCAGGGTGTTGTTCTTTGTCAACAGTTATTAGCATTTGTACCTTTACTCCCAGTTGTGTTCTCGTGATATAGCTCGACATCCAACTTAATGCAGTCATTGTGGTGTCACTATTATTATGTCTAATGCAGGTTTTTTTCATGCAGTCATAAATAAAAGATTGTGTGTGTGTGTGTGTGCCTGTCTTTGTGTCACTATTATGATTATCTTACTAGTCTGAGACAGATGCAGACCAGGGCAGATGTATTATTCATTAGTGCGTGTCAGGTGGTTGCCAGCTTGGCTGCATTATCTTTTTCTGAATTAATATTTATCTACACATTGTATCAGTCCGTAAGGTGAGTTGTAGAAAGCAAGACTTAATTAGCTATTTATCACAGAGGTCTGCTCCTAGGTTGCTTCATGGCAGCTACAGAGGCATGGAGGATATTGTCAAATGATTGTGCATAATAGAATTCTATGGAGATTTTCTAGGCTTGTAGTACTCATTGGTTGATGTTGAATTTTAATGAATGAATGTGAATAGGATGGTTTCTGTCTATCTTATATTTGGTTATTATTTTGCGCATAAAATACACGGTCATGCTGCTGAGTCCATGTCCCTCTCTCATCGACACCTGATGAAGCCTCTTTCTAATCTGGTCTGGTGTTCAGTAATACTTTGTTCCTCTTTCCATATTATATATTCATGTGAGAGGCTTTTGCGTTCGTTCTATCTGAAATGGCTTACCTGATATGGTAAGAGTACACACCTGTAACCTTTGACGTACTGCTGACAGCTGAGTAGGTGTGTTTACTCAATGATAATAAATCGTTTGGTCTATTTTAACCTGTTGTTAAGGCCCCACCTCGAGTTCACCACAACTCCACCCTGCAGCACTGAATTATCACATAGCATGTCCATGTCCTGGCTGCCACCCAGGTTAAGGTCAACACGTATTCCTATAAACAATTACTGTTGATTCATTCAAGTCCCACTCAGGCTTAATGTTGCCGTCAGGCCGAGTAATGCAGCTTTATTTACAAGAAATATGAAGTGGGCAGACATCAACAGAAATAAATATGTAAACACCACACTGAGAAAACCTGCCATTCCATACTGTAGGTGTTGTCTTATTATGACTGGTGTGGTTTTACAGTGAGGAAATCTGGTTCAATGTAACAATATAATCTCACTCTAAGTTGTTATTATTATGTTTGTTTATTGAATTGAAATGTCTTAAATGTCCCCAAGGGGCAATTTGGTGTTTATGTGTTTTGTTGTTTAATTCTTGTTCATTACCGTCATCTTTTACATTTTGTTCTACATTATTATTGCATTGAATGTTTTTTTTCCACACTGTATGATAATGTCCGGTATACAGTGTATTTTATAAGATTCCAGGGTTTCATATGGCTGCACCGTGACAGTTTATATGCATTTTAGCATTATTTAACCTGACATATATTTTATCTTAAACATTTAGAATCATGACTTGAACTTAAGAATATACAGGAGTTTTTTAAAGTGAGCCACCCTTGTGTCAGTGAAGAGGTTGGTCAGTGTGAACAGTTTCAGGCAATCAAAAAAATTTGCCAGTCAAACACCGGCAAGAAGTTCCTGATGCAAAATAGTATGCACATTTACTGCACTGTCTATGACTGAGCAAACAAAATATTCCTATTTGACATAAAAATCAACTGCCAGCAATATCATAGAGCCCAGTGTGTTGCTCTTTAATCTAAAGACTCCTACTTTACCTGTTGCTTTTCATTATACTGGGGCATGAGCAGGTATTCTACACACATCTGCTACAACAACCTATGCTACATTTTATCTCCTGCAGGCCTGGATTCGGACGAGTCATATGAGGGAGTGTCAGAGGCCAGTTTCAAAGATGCACTGGTGTTTGACGGCAGCAGTCAGAAGAACAACGGATCAGTGCCACAGGAGAACGGCATCAAGAAACACAGGTACTGTTGCATTCCTCCACCTCACTCCACCTGCAGTGTGTAATTGTATGTTTGTAGCTATCCAAAAACTATTTGAAGCATCCTATTGAAACCAGTTTAATGTGCTGGGCAGGGTCAAAAATCTTACTCATTAGGGTTTGATGCTTGTTTTGACGAACTCCTTTGCAGTTGCTGATCTTTTGCTTACTTATTATTTTTAAATGTTATTCTTTTCTCCACTATTATTATCCTAACTGCATTTGAAATGCGTATTTCACTTAAGTCGCAGTTACATTAACGTGGTTTGGAAGACAGCTTTGTTACAGTACTAATCTTCAGCACATGCAAAGAAGGACACACTGATAATGCGAGTCCAAGGTTCTCAGGGAAAGGGAGTGAATGTTGGCAAGAAATCCTGCTAAATACCAAGACCTTTTATTCCCAGGCTTCATCACCTAAGTGTTCCTCTGCTTGTGCAATGTTCTAGGTGTCGAAAATGATTATTTCTCTATAAAAGTAGCGTGAAAGAAAAATAGGAGCTGCTTTTGTTGCTGTCAGTGGGAGACTGATGTTGTTGACTCATACATAAAAGTCATTTTGCAGCATGCCGTTTTCCACTTCCCCATTCACCTCAATTAGAGCCACTCTAGGAAAGAAAGCCTTGGCTTTATTCGTCCCTATTCTGTTCTGTCTCTGTTCGTCCTCACATTGCCATAATTGGGTGTTGGACTCAGGGGTGAGTTCTTTCTTTCTCTGTGGAACATTTAACATTTCTTTCCTATCTACATGTTCTATATATTCAGGCCGGCAAACAGACCTGACAGACCACATGCTCAGCTTATCTACAGTGTTTGTTTGTGACCAGTTTGTTAGATCAGATACTGTCTCGTACTGATGCACATGACAGTGATACTGACAGCAGGCATGAGAGAACAAAATGGTTTGCCTCTCTTTTTCCCTCTCTCTCCCTCTCTCTGTGTGTCTGTGTTTCTATATCATCATCATCATCATCTCAGAAAATGTTTTTGTTTGGATGCTAAAGAAACTCTGGCAACGCAACTGAGACCTCCTAAAGCTTAAAATACGAACTGAAAAACTACAGATGGTGGAAGACTGGGTGGCTTGTTGTTTTTGTGAAAAAGATGAGAAGAGATATTTTCTCCTTCAAGAATATATAATGTACTAAGTGAGAAATATCACACAAGCTGTGTGTGAGTGTGTGTGTGTGCGTTATTTGTTCGTGCCCCAGTCATTTCTTGTTTTCTTTAATTTCAGGACGTCCCTACCTGCGCCTATGTTCTCCAGAAACAATGTCAGTATCTGGAGCATCCTGAAGAAATGCATCGGACTGGTAAGGACCCACAGATCTCCAGACTTAAATCAAATGCCACTTCACATACAATAAATAAATGACAGCATCCATATAATAATAATAATAATAATAACTATAATACTTTGTACAGACCAGGCTAATTAATTATTTTGGCCCATTATATCCCTGATTAATAAAAAACATTTGCAATAGGTTTTCAGTGACTGCATGTCATTCTGGGGCAATGTAACCATTGATGAAGCAGTACATCACATATGTATAAAATGACATATTTTTTTTTAACTGTTATATGTCAAAAATTATTGAGTAACATTAGGCAGCAATTGTTTCATTGTCAGTCTTTAGATATTAGTGGTTTTGTCTTGCATTGGTTGGATTCAGTGGGACCAAGAGGGAGAGCATGTAAGACATGATCACACAACACATTCTGTTAAAACCGAGTGTGTATTTTACGTCTGATCTTTGCTCTGTGCTTTTCACAGGAACTGTCAAAGATCACAATGCCCATCGTCTTCAACGAGCCTCTGAGCTTCCTGCAGAGAATCACAGAATACATGGAACACACTTACCTCATCAACAAAGCCTGCTCGCTGTCCGACTCCATAGAACGCATGCAGGTCAGACACACACACACATACACACACACACACCAAAATCATTTAATTTGGCATGGTGATCTGACCAAATACACTGGCATCACTAGAGTTCAATCAACCTACCACACACAAACACACACACTCATTTACCAAGCCCACCTCTAAAGAATTAATGTGAGAACATGCAACACACGTGAATAAAAACACACCTACATTTTCATGTCACACACACTCACTAATGTGATCTGTGATTGTTTGTCTTCAGGCAGTAGCTGCTTTTGCTGTGTCAGCAGTTGCTTCCCAATGGGACAGAACTGGAAAACCCTTCAACCCTCTGCTGGGAGAGACCTATAGAACTCACCAAGTACCACACACACAACACACACACACACACACACAAACACACACAGTTAACACTGAGCAGTTTCTTTACCCTCTTTCTTCTCCACCGCCATCTACAGAGAGGGGCTGGGTTTCCGGCTGGTTTCAGAGCAGGTATCACATCATCCCCCGGTCAGTGCCTTCCATGCAGAGAGCCTGGTCGGGGACTTTGTCTTCACCGGCCCATCTACCCCAAACTCAAGTTCTGGGGCAAAAGCGTTGAGGCTGAGCCTAAAGGGACCATCACACTAGAGCTACTCAAGTAAGTCCAACAGAGTAGTGTGTGTGTGTGTGTGTGTTCATATCACAGTCGTTTGAATCAACATCAGTTCCTCTTTTATCCCCTCTATCATTTTTTTCATGTTGTTTTCTTCTCCTTTCCTCCAGGCACAATGAGGCGTACACATGGAGTAACCCTTACTGCTGTGTACACAACATCATCCTGGGCAAGCTATGGATAGAGCAGTATGGCACAGTGGAAATAGTCAACCACAGGTAATCTATACATGAGAGCTGTGGTCTTTGATTGTGCTTGATTTTTTTCTTTTTTATCATTTGGAGGCATAAGTGCACTTTGCTTTTAACATAACTGACATGGTGACCCAAACACAGTATTTTATAATTAGACAAATAGGAAGTAATGAGAAAAGCCTCAGAGAGAACAGTACATAGTAAAACAGGGCTGCAGCCAACAAGTCTTTTTATTGATTAACTTGATGTTTGTTTTTTACATGAATCCATAAGTTAATAAAATGTGGGAAAGTAGTGGAAAATGACACAATTTCCCAAAGCCTTAGGTGACGGCTGTGCTTGTTTTTACTGACAATTATATAAATGTAATGATATAAAAGTAAATGTAGGACTTTTTGTTTGACTTTTAAACAACAATTAATTATTACTTTTTTGGGATCCTTTTCGTTCATTCTAACATACAACTAAGGTAATAAGTCATCCATAGAGTTAATTGTCCTATATTGGTGCTCAGGAGGAAGTACAACATCATCACACACACACACACGAACCCCATGATTGTCCAGAGTTTTGACTCAGTTTTGAAACAAATTGAAATAAAGCAAAGTAAAACTGACTGTGGCTCACAAAGCTGTTCAGCATTCCTGCCCGGCGTCTTCATTTACCTTGTCACAGTGTGTACTCTGATACTTTAGACAGCAGCTTGTTTACTCTTGTCAGGCAAACAATCCCTGGATCACTTTTGGAAACATTATTAATCCAGGGAAGCTCTGCAATGCTTGTATTGTTCTTTTTTTTCTCACGCTCTGTGTCATGTTCACACAGTTACACAGATTCACACCAGGAGTTGTGAAAGCATCAGAACTCAGTCTTGCGCAGTTTGCAGGCACTGAGCTGAGCTGGTGCACTGATAGGATACAGTTTTTATATGATTTTTTGGTCAGCACCCATGGTTCCTTAAAGACGTTAGAGTTGAGTACACCAGGTCTTTAGTTTGAACTGACTGGATAAGTGCCTTGCATGGAAAATGGGAAAAGTTGATTGACATTTATTTATTTCTGCATTTATTCTGGGTTCAGACTAAATCCTTTTACCTTTAAAGGTCCAGTGTGTAGCATCTTTTCATTAGTGTATAACCACCTGTAAATACGAATCGTCACTGGTCCAAAACTGTTGGCAGTTGTCATTGTTTGAACTCAACCTGATAAAGTGAAGTAATGCAAGCTGAATTCAATGAAACAGTTATCTAATGGTTTTATTGCGTAATCTTTATTGAAACAAAAAAACAAGAAGTCCCAATATGCCAGTATGGAGGAATTACTATTTATTTAAACTTTTTACGGTCACCATTATTCTGAAATACAAAGCTAGTGAATATCCGTTAACTGGTTCCTCTTTCCTCCTGCAGCACTGGAGACAAGTGTGTGTTGAATTTCAAGCCCTGTGGGATGTTTGGCAAAGAGCTGCACAAAGTGGAGGGATACATCCAGGATAAGAGGTTAGACTTCACTCTTTTATTGCTCCGTCACAGAAAGTATATTCTCTCATCTTATAGCATTGGAAGTTTAGAACATTCTCATTCTAATTTGGTTCTTCCTTTTCTCTTCTCTAATTGTTCCTCTTCTTCCTCATTTCCTCTTTTTCTTCTCCATACTTCTTCTTCTTCTTTTTCTTGTCCATTCTTCTTCTTCTTCTTCTTCTTGCCCATTCTTCTTCTTCTTCTCCTTCCACTTTCTGTCTTCTCGTGCCATTCTCCTCTCGTTTCCTTATCTTTCCCCATCTTCCTCCCATTCTTTTACTTTCTCTTCCTCCTTCCTGTGTCCAGTAAAAAGAAGCACTGCGTTATATATGGGAAGTGGACCGAGTGCATGTGGAGTGTCGACCCTCAGGCGTACGAGGCGCACAAGAAGTCAGAGAGGAAAGGAGACAACAAGAAGCACAAAAATGTGAGAACAAATTAGAAAATGTGTGTCGTCTGTCATTTCTTTAATCCTAGACTGCTGCTTGTATTTATTTTCAGTATTGTATTCTTCTGTAGCGTTGACTGATAGAAGCGAGTTCAGAATTTCTGTTTGGTGTTTTTATTGCAAATATAAAATGCTTAAAGACATTATTGTATTGCCTTTATTTTACCCAGATTCTGAATATTATTTAACTGCTTGTTTTCTACAATTCTTGTCTCATGATTTTGGTGTTAGTCCGATTTATTTGTTTTCTTTTTCCTCTTGATTTCCTGTTGGTGTCCACAGCTTTCTGTGTGGTCTTATACAGGTAAACAGGCTTGTGTAGGTTGGTGTTATCCAGCTCTAGTCTGCTTGGTCATTTGTAGTGAAGCATCATAGCTGCAAAATGTTTGACTTTCCCTTCCTGCTGGGAAACAGCTCTATCAGATCGTGACAGAAAGTGTGATATAGATGGTAACTGTATGTAGATACAACAAAGTATAAAGTCATTTTCTAATGTGATGCCAGATGTAATTTGCCCCGGAACATTTTGACTGCATCTTTTCAGAGTAACGGCAGTTACAATAAATAGTTATTATTTCCAGGATGAGCTGGATGGAGCAGACAACGATGATGCAGACGACATGCCCGAAGTCCAGGAGACGGTTTCTGTCGTACCAGGAAGCACTCTGCTGTGGAGGATAGACTCCAGACCGGCACACTCTACTACGGTATTCAAATGAAAACACACACACACACACACACACAGACATTTTGATCAGTTGACATTAACCTTTTATTGGCCTTAAAGGACAAACACACAAGCCACAAAAGTAAAATGTAGTTAATGAGCTGTTTTAATCAACAGATTTTTAACAAACAATGTTGTTACTGTTTGTCATATTAGTCAGTAGTTGAGCAAATATTAAGCAATACAACATAAAAGTGTTTCAAGGCTGCATTTACAAACACACACACACACACACACACACTTAATATCCCTAATTCCTTCTCTTCCTTCCCCAGATGTACAATTTCACCAACTTTGCGATGTCTCTCAATGAGCTGGAGCCTGGCATGGAAGCCATCTTGGCCCCCACAGACTGTCGCTTCAGACCTGATATCAGAGCCATGGAGAATGGCAACATGGGTAATTTGATTTAAAAGTTCCTTATCAGTTTAATGGAGCTCTGTTTGCCTGAACATAGTGACTTGTTTGGCAGCAGTGCCCTGCAGAAACCTCAGTCTTTTCAAAATAAAAGTATTATCAGAAGTCACAGCAGACATTTAGATTATTCTCTCAGTATAATTTCTGCAGGCGATTAATACATCTGAAAGTATGACGTCTTCTCATGGGATACAAAGAATAGACAGTAAAACAATGCTGCCACCTGCTGGGTCTCTGTGTGTCCGTCTCATGGCATCTTCTTGATCTGAGTGATTAAAGAACTGCATAAAGTAAACTTTGTTACCTTGAATATTCCAGCTCAAGTCTCGTCATACACTGTGTGTGTGTGTGTGTGTGTGTGTGTGTTTTTCTTGTGCAGACGAGGCCAGTAAGGAGAAGGAGAGATTGGAGGAGAAACAGAGAGCTGCCAGAAAGGAGAGAGCCAAGTACGAGGAGGAGTGGTCTACAAGGTGGGAAACTAACTTTTATTGCAATTAAACATACAGACGGTAAAAACATAACAAATCTATACTGTGATGTTGTCACAGCATTTTGTGATGCTTTATGGTCAATTCTGCAGACATCTAATCTGTTTGTGTGTCCTCCAGGTGGTTCCAGATGGGCACCAACCCGTACACCGGCGCCCAGGGCTGGCTCTACACCGGTGGCTACTTCAATAGGAACTACCAAGACCTGCCCCATATCTACTGATAGCCCGCTAGCCTTCATCCTCATCCTCCTCTTCTTTAACCTGCAATGATCTGCCTGTCATGAAATGGAGAAAAATGTTAAGAATCCACATACCAGTCTTTATCTCACTGCCTTCATCATCGGACACACCCAGCATAAATTGGAAAGACTTATAAAGAAGCCAAATGCCTGTCACTTCCCTCAAACAGCGGCCTGCTTGATGTCTGCTGAGTCTTCAGGTCTTTTTTGTTTTTCTTCATGTAAAAGATTTTACATCATCTTCACTTCCGCCGTATTCTTATCATCTTGTGTGATTTCGTCACATTAGGACCAGCAAGCATTTCTCATCTCTCTGCCCCGGCATCGTTTAGAGCACAAGGTTATATTCCCGACCAGTCGCAGCGGCAGAGAGTTGGTACGTCTGAAACAACGGTTAACGACCCACAAACTCACAGATACAATTTTGAATGTTTAACGCCTTTACAATCAAACTCTCGCCTGAGGAACCACCTGCCACACCTCCGGACCGCGTCACGTGTTATTAATGAGCAAATCTGAGTAAAAACAACATGAAGTAAGACATAATCACAGCGATGGATTTACAGGCCGATACCTAGTCAACGGGGAAATCAGGGATGTGAATTCTCCTTTGACTGAAGACGGATCTCGATGATTTTTGTTTTTGGAAACCGCTCAGAAAATAAATATAGGTGACATTGTACTCTTTAAGGAGCGACATTATAAACAAATACTGTTGGTTTAATTGGTCAAGATAAATCGAATGCAAGCATGAGCTCATTACTGTCCATGTGTCATAACCATAAAACATTTAGTATGGACTGTTACTCGCCCATTACCCTTTCACAAGGTTTATGCATCAAAATAAATCAAGACATCTACTAGAAAACAGTTCCTCGACAGCGGAGTGGAATGTGCGGCTCGAGCGGGACGAGACCTGGGATCAGCACAGAAACCACACGCAACCTGATGTCCTCCTGCATGGGAACAGATGAATGAATAGAGCGTGGGTTCGGTGGCACGCCTGAGCTGTTTGCACCCTCAAAATGTTACTCTGTTGTCTTAACACCTGGCCTGTAAGTCTGTAAGAATAGTTGCTGGTTTTACTTAGAGACAGTTGAAATGTAAAGTATGATTAACAGTCCACTGTGCTCACTCATTAAGTGAATTCTCTCTGTGTGGGTTGATAAAATAAAACAGAGCAGCTGGAGTTCAGAGCCAGAGTTTAAGGAACACTGAACAGAATGTTCATGTACATGATATGCATCTTGGATAGCTGGCTAACTGTGCTGGCTGCTAAGTCATAGCTGGAGATTACCGGCATTCAAAACAGGCTTCACAGAAAATCTTTTCATCCTCTGGTTTATACATTTCTTTCAGAATCTGATGGTCAGTGCCTGCATGTGCATGTAAATCTAAACCTGGAAGATAAATTCACTCCTTCAGAGTTAAATCTCACACTCTATAAAATGATTTTGACATTTTAAGTGGATATTTAACTCCCAGATTAGACAGTGACAGTAATGAAATCTAATATAATACTGAGTAAATGTAAGGAACAATAACAGTACATGCACATTCATTGTGTGAGTGAGTATATGAATATGTACGACACCTAAAGCCATATTAACTACAAGAGAGAGTGGATTTGCTGTGTGAATGACGGGAATTTGACTGTCAGCCCTTAAAATTTACATTATTATTATTATTATTAACCTCACTATCATCATAGCATGATTAATAAAGAAAGCATTATTCATGTCAGTGTAATATAATGTAACATGCACCGTTAGATATTCTGCTGTCACGCTGGATTGGATGCTAGAGAATGGATAGATTACTGAACAGGCCCAAAGGGTCACCACCAAAAGAAAGACACACAATGACTGTAGATATGTAAAACGACTACAAAGAGACTCATAACGACAACAGAGAGATGTAAAATCAACAGTACTTTGTGTCTCTTGCTGTTTTGGTGTCTTGCTCCTGTATCAGAGGGATGAAGGGCCTTTAACATACAGTATCTGTGCCCAGGGACCTGTTCTGCCATCCAGTGATTTTTTTTTTTGTCTTCTGATATTGATTGTCGTAAAAAAAAGTGTTTCATTCTCAAAATTGAAAAAAACAAACATGAAAACCAGTCTAATGAATGTCAGCACACACAAAAATAGTAGAGGGAGAGATGGCGCTCCTGAGAAAGACTGTCGAGTGCAACACAGCAAGGCTATCAAGTATTTGAGAGCTTAATGTACAGAAACTCTTGACTCGATGAGACATCCTGTGCACGGTGCGTCTTTCTTCTGCACGTTTTGAATCACGTTAAGCCTCGCGACTCGACTCAGACACGAGATACCACATCATGTTGCACCGAGCAAATATTTTGGACTTCAGCTGCTCTGAAGCTTTATCGTGATGTTACAGATTCATGATATTTAGAAAGCTCACTCAGTATTTTGCCTTCAATTCCAGCTGAGCAGAACTCACATTTCCATTCAGACTGGGCGCTTGAAATCCAAATGCAGATGTAGGATCTGCATTTTGTTAATAGGACATCAGGAAAAATATCAGATGGGAATGGATTGGACAGATTTTACTTTCAGTTTATATATTTTTAATATGTATGCTGAAATTATATTACATATATTAAAAAAACATGTTTATCAGAGCTCCATTCTCCTGAGCTTCAGATGAAATTAACATTAAATAAAATGTAAATAGCCTTGATCTTGTTGAAGAACAGTCAAAGGTTGTGTTTTAGATTTCAGTTGTATAATGAGGTTACAACCCTCAGCTCTCCAGGTTATCACCACACCATAATACTCTCCACATTACCTGCAGACCTGTTTGCACTGGTGAGAAAGAGCGTATAAGATAAAGTGAGATACCCTTCTGGACGTGATCTACAGAAATCTTTATTCTGGATATGTCATTCACCAGGTTGCAGATGTTTAAAAGTCATGTTTTCATCAGTGCATTCAGGAGCTATGACGTATTTCACAATACCAACTCTATGCAACTCCTCAACATAAACAGTACACGCCTGGTCTGTTATTGTACAGTAGCTTTACATTCCCCTCAACCCCAGCAGCACACATCTTCAGCTTGGACAGGCTGATGTCTCTCAAAATGAAGACTTCTTAGTTTAATATATAATAATTGGAAATGAATAGAACTTGTCACTACAACCAGCCTCGTACCGCATCTTGGACCAATTTAACTTTTCTGTTTTTAAAATGTATTTCCATGTCTTGCTTAGTTCCTGGATTTGTTTACCTTTTTTCCCATTACCACATTTTTTTTTTAACTTATGTGTATTATTTATGATGTTTGATGTTTTATGAAATGGATTCTGTTGTCAGTTGTTATTTTTTGCTTATGTAGCTAATCTAAAACAGCTCTTAATTTCTCTTTTTTCACTTGAATACAAATTTGAGCTGTTTTGTAGAGGAGCAGAGTGTCTAAATCGGGCTTGAAGTGAACATCATTCACCAGTTTAACATTTTGCTGTGACCGTTAATCTGTCAGATGTAGGTAGACAGTGACTCCTTCCTGTTTGAATGTCTTTTGGCTGCTAAAATTCACGTGGAATACCCCGAACACGGTTATTTTCATGCCTACAAGATCACATTTTTTTTCAACTTGTCATTAAAAAGTCATTAAAACTCACACAAACACTACTTGAGTCACAAAAAGGTGTGAACTGAACACTGGTCAAATGCTGCAGTAGTAAATGAGTCCAAACAGGAACACCAGCCTCTGTTCAAAAGTAGCTTTTGACTCTAATGTAAAAAGAGTGGGTAAAATAGTCCCAGCAGCCAGTAAACATATGGAACAGTCACATTCATGAGTGCTGATTCGGCTCTACCAGTCACAAGACTAATGCTCTGTCACTGAACTAGATCTAGGTTGTTATTTTGCTTTGAGTGTTGGTTCTTTCTATAAAGATGTGTCCTTCTCTTGGACTGTATCACGGGGTTGTCAATGTTATATATGTGTACAAGTGCTGCACAGAGGTAATCACAAGCAAAATGGCATATTATTTTGTGCAATTGATTTATTTTTATAGTATTTAAACTGTTTTTGGTGAGAACATTGTACCAGATGTTTTATTTTGAGGTGGGGGATTGTAAGGGGTCGTATCCAATCTGTGGACAGTTTGGTAGATTAATGAACAGGGGAAATGTCTACTAATAAAATCCTAATTTCAGTTTTTGATCGTGTCGCCTTCTTTTTTTTAAAAAATATAATGAATATTAAGGAGTACATTGGCACAAGTCTGAGTTGAAACACAGTAAATATCAAACAGCATTCATCAGTCACCCTGTACCTGCAGCCATTTATTTACTCAATGTGACTAATAAACGCTATTAAAAAGAGGAAAATAAACAACTAGAGTTTCATAAATAGAGAATGGCTTCTAGAGGGAGCTCAAATGTTCACATTTCAAAGCAGTTTGAAGCAAATCTGATTTCTGGGCAATTAAATAAAACTGGATCCACGTCACCCAGATGTACAAAGAATCAGACTTAAGCTGTGCGGATTCAGAGGAAGTAGGATGAATGGGCTGAGTATTCTGTGTAAATTAAAACTTAAGACTAGTTCTTTTGTGTATTTTTTGCAGCAGGGTTAGCACAGACGAGCACGTGCGGTTCATGTGCAGTTGGTTATTCCAAACTGGGGAAAAAAAGTCTAAATCAGTAGAGTTTTTCAGATTTTGAAGGGGGGTCATGCCAGAAATCATTAGTGAACCAGTGGGATACTGCACTGGGGGTGTAGGAACAGCACAGGTTACAACATTAACAATGGATCTGTTGTGAATCAGTGTCAGTAAGTCCTGACAGTGTCACAGTGAGCCAGCATTAACAACGCCAGGACCCTGAAACTGAAGCAGCTAAATGGAATTCAGCCGTCATTCATTTCATTATTTTCACCTGTGTGTGTCCTGCTGTGACGATGTCTTTAATGAAAAAAGCCTAGGATGATGCTAACATGTTGATCACTATCTTAGTTTAGTGTGTTAGCATGCTAACATTAGCTAATAGCACAGAACACAAAGCACAGCTGAGGCTGATGGTGATGGCATTATTTGGTCATAAACCAAAGTATTGAACCCCATGGTGGCGTGAGAGGCAAGGTTCAAATCTAATGTAATCTCATCAACAACCCAAGAGCCAATAAGAAAGAAGAGGAGGGAAACTTTCTGGGAAAGAATAATATTCCCATCACCCCCTGTGCTCAGTCTGCAGCCTACTAAATGTGAATGAGTTTGTGCCTTTGTGAGTGAATTCATGAAGCGCTTTGCATTTATAACTTTAGAGTGAACTTTAACAGAAATGGAAAAACACAGATGTTAATCCACCAGTTTTTAAAAAATGACTTAAACCCAGGATGCAGTTAGAGAAACATCAAAAACTAAAGTAAGAGCACACACGGCAAACAGTTTATTGTTTTTATGTATTTGTCTTTTATTTATTTTTCCTGATTGAAATGTATTGTAAGGTCATAATTTGTCATTCATCACATTACATGGCATGATGCACCAGGTCTACTACACCCATTTACAGGAGGAATACACGGAAACATACACAAGGTTTTACAATGGGGAAACAGGAAGTTTAGCTCATTGCACTTACAACAGTGAATGGAACACTTTGTAGTCATTTTTAGGCTCTCGACCTTTTTCTGTATTTTATTTTCACCCTCTTTTCTTCATTCAATTGGGTTATTTTATGATTTTTTTTTCACACATCTCCATTGTCCAATTCACTCTTTTCATCTCCATCTCCCCAAATAATTATCTGTCCACCCCAAAAATTACATGGAAGCCAGAATATTTTTCCCTTTTTTTTGTTTTTCATGTCATCTCATTTTACAAACACAACATGTATAGAAACTCTACACAGACCAATATGTTTTTATATTTTTTCTTTTATCCGAATACAACTTTTTAATGAGTTTTAAACAGTCCGCACGAGCCGGCCACATACGTACACAATGGATTTTTTGTCATTTGTTATTCAAATCAACAACTGCTCATGTTTGTTATGTAGGTTTTGTTGGTTTTATACACACAAAGCACAAGTTTGGGCAGGGAGGTTCAGGCTTGCATACGCTCCAGCTTGTGTTGCTGTGTGCAAAGGCCTCTCTCATGCCTGTGTGTGTGCGTGTGTGTGTGTGTGTGTGTGTGTAGTGGTATGTTATCCGCATGTTTCTGTAGATTTACATGTTTTACAGACATGTCCTTCATGGCATTTACATGTTGTCTGTTTGTTCAAAGCGGACTCTGGTCGGTTCTCATCTGGTATTACCTGGAAAAAATATGGCAGCCCGTGGGGTGGGAGGTCAAAAGGTCGAAGAGGTTCATAAGGCTCAACGGGACGGGTTGGGTGGGGGAGGTGTCCAGGTCATGCACTTGTAAATTTTACTTTGATGATTCAATTACAGGTGAAGATGAATAAACGCTCCCTGATGGTTTTACAGTGAAAGATGGAGTTTCCCTCATGGTATAGTTTGTTCAGCATTCTTGTTCTATTTTTACAACCTCTCCACCTATTAATGTTTACTTTTTATTATTCTATATATATATATTTTTGTGTGTTTTAAAGTCTTTCTCCGGTCCTGCTTTATGTCGACTGTATATGCGACCAACAGCAGTGGTGACAGTTACTACATTACGAACTGTACAAGCACTGTATGCTACCTTTTTGGTTAAGAACACACACACACAGTCTGGGTTTCCCAAAAGCATTCCAAACTTTAAATACATTTAAATACAGTTGACTCAAACTCTTTTCAGCTCTCTGTGGCGCTAAAAGTTTGTCATTTGTCTTTTTCATGGCTGTGCAGTCAGGAAAATACCTAGTTCTGATACCAGATCGGTGCCACAGATTCTCTGACTGCCTGTGAATACAACCTTATTGCTGAGCCTCAAGATTCGAAGACGAGTTGGACTTTTGAGATGTCTGTAAATCGGACCCTTTGTGTTCTATTGCAAACTATTAAACACAAGAGTTTTTTTCCGAAACATAATTTGAAAGAATATGTGTGAATCTCAGCTCATAATAGTTAGAAAAATTTCATTTTTCGCCCATAAAAACTAGTTTTTCAGTTTTATTTTGTTTTTTGTTGGGGGGGNNTTTTTGGGGGGGGGGGGAGCTTAAAGAAGCTATTCCACAGCAGATTTCAATTCAAATTACTTTGTCCTGATTTGGAACACAACTCAAAGATTGATCTTTTGTGCTTCAAACACCTCTGAAAAACCAGACTGTGGCTTGGTGGTTTTGCCCACTGGGGATTGCTGTGGTCTGAACTGAAGTCTGTTGCGTTCCTGGATATAGACAGACACCATGCAGAGTATAGACAGAGACCACGACTGGCTAGAGGGCAGTAACAAGATGGCTTTCTTCAGTGACCAGTATTGTAGTATAAAAGCCCTTGCTGCTATGCATATTTAAATTCACCTTCAGTGGCTGTATTCACACAGGAACAAAAAATGTGACATTTTTTACAAATTTTGACGAAGATGTCGCTATTAATGTCTTCATGGCTGTGTCATACTGTGTTCCTCTAGTTAACAGCAGCAATGGGAAGATCACATCTGTGTCATAAAGTGTTAAAAATTAGATTTATTGAGCCTGCATAAATCCATCAATTATTTTCTACTGTCTATTGAACATCTTGTTTGCGATGCTGCATTTAGTGTGTGCTTTCCTGAGGCAAAAGTGATTGAGGAACATTTTATTGAACATTTTATTTTTTTACAAACTTCCAAAAACATACGACATACAATAGAGGAAGTTGGTAATAATTTGGGTAACTTTAAACTCTCTCTCATATTATTTGTTCTACTTTAACACGTGTTGTCTAATTTTAAGCTTCTGTGGTGAAGTCACTGATCTGGTGGCAGTGTACCTGTGAGGTGATCGCTCCGGGCTCGGTGCTGTTTGTCAGGGCCACGTGAACCTGATGTCAAGGACCAGATCCAAACAGAATCAGAATAATCAGACTCTTAATCCAGCAGCTGAATTTAACTCTACAGATTAAATTTGAACAAGCATTACAACCTGTAACCTTGTACATAAAGTAGGGAAATAGGAAAATTATGGAAGAATGTTTGAAAACAAATAATCAATTGACAGCACACTGGCAAAGATTATCTGATTACTGTGGTTGTGCATAAATCCAGCTATAGATAACTTCTGCATAAACATAATCTCTCACTCTATAGATTTCAAACTTAAATCTCTTTTCTTTCTTCTTTCCCAGCCAGCTTTCTATCCCCTCTCAATATGATAAAATAAATTCTTACATAGATAAATCATCTCATAAAATGTTTCACAAAAAATATACATACTAACTTCTTTTAATGATTTGTTAGGCCATGCTCAAATAAAGTGTAGGAGTAGTAAAGGAGTTGGGAGTTAAGGGATGTTTTCATACTGCATAAACCGCCTCTTTTCAAATCTGTATTTTAATAAATAGCTTCTATGTATAATTACCTCGTAACAGCAGACTGCTGTGGTAAATTTGCAGATAACTCTTTATGTCTGAGGTACAGAAATTTCCGTTCCACAGTGTATTTATAGCTTATAGATCTAAGTGTGTCGTGGCAGTGCATCTTAAACACTCAAACACACACACACACACACACACACACACACACACACAAACTCATTCTCACACCACTTAATCTAATTTAGGAATGCCTTGAATAGTGTTTCATTTGTTGCCTACAGTCAAATATAATCTATAAATTGTATATTATCTGTAATATGTATATATATATACTAATATATATATATATTTGTATTTGAACTGGCTTTGTGTTTCATATAACTATTCTTTAAATTGAACTTTCTCTGCAAAACAATAAGTGCACATTCAGGTAGCCTGAACCTAGTAGGAATTTTGGGCCATGGTCATAAAAAAAGAAAGAAGAGGAGCTTTTATTCTTCACCCCTGAGCAGACACAACCATATTAGGGAATATATTGAAATCTTTGTTTATATATATATATATATATATATTGGTGTGTATTCTATATTTATATAAATCTTCATTTTTATCTATATAAATTTCTGGACAACTTTTCTGTAAACTAATAATGTTCTGTAGTTAACCTCTGCTTGAAGATAAACAAAACAGTTGTTCGGATTTGTTCATGTCAACTGGGATCATTTGGTGCGTCTGCTAACTGCCCAGTTCATCTGTTATCC